GACTTATAAGTGCGTTTTTCTGCAAGATGTCATTAGTAAGTATTTAAAAACAATTAAATCAACTTTAATTTTCTGTATTTGTATGTTAGATGTACTGCTGGTTTATTGTAATTAGTTTAATATTAAAATTTCAGAAATACCTTAAAACAAACAGAAAAACTAACACTATCTAAGTGTGGATTTAGCCAGCATTTTGTGTAACGTAATCTAACCTAACGTAATTTAATTTAAAAGCCAGGCTAAATCAACCCTGACTATCGAACACAGACTGCTATCACCAAACACACAACACATAGAAGTGCCACTCTTGATTAAACGCGAAAACACCCAAGTCCTTCCAGCAGCAGTTTCCTCTAGTATCGCGTACCCGCTGGGGTGAGCAGCACATAATAATAATAATAATAATAATAATAATAAAATACAGGGTAAAGTTTACAAATTAAATTAGCTAATTAGCCTAATTTTTATTTTTTTTAAGTTGCTTGGGGACAAGGCGCCTATTTCTACGTGGCGCCTAAGGCAATTGCCTTGCCTGCCTAATGGGTAATATGGCCCTGCTCATTAAGGAATTGTTCAACGGAGCACATTTTAAAATATGTAAACATGTAAAAATGTCAACATGTAAACATTTAAATATGTTTTAAATGTAAAAAATATAGTTTGACTTTTCTATCAAAGCCTTCTTAAACAAAAATCATAGTGCCATTTTCTATAAAATTTGTCGCATTTTAAACCGTTGTATCTTCTTAGGAAGGCAAATACATATTTTTTTTACAATTTTTAGTATATATTAAGGAGAATATTTTGTTAAATTTTGAACAATTTTCGTTCAGTCCCTCTGGACGAATAAATGGATTTTTTTATAATAAAAATGGTATTTCCTGAAATTTGGGTATTTTTTTTATAATTTTGCATTTTATATTTTAATTGATATTTATAAGTACCTACTTTAATTAAAAATATACACCAAATCAAATTTCCATAGCCTACTACATCCCGAGCAACGATTCCAATCCGGGACCGATCCGATTTTCCCTACAAAATATCCGGTCCGCATCCGGTATCGAATAGGATAATCGGATCCGGCTAGGGCAGGATGTGTAACGCTTGACTTTGTCCGATTCGGAACGAGTTGACGTTATCCGGCCCTGATCCGGGCACTTCAATCCTGGCCTGATCAGGCAGCCCAAATGCGGCTCTGAATAGGAAAATCATATCCGAATCGGAAAAAGGCTATCTGATGCGGCCCTGATTGTGAAACCCACATTCTAATAACCCAATAACCCCATATCCCCACCGGACTGCCTGATCCGGCCCCAACTGGAAAAAATTATATTTCAACCCAATAGGAATGCCTTATCAGGCTCCGACTGAAAAAAATTACATCCCAGCCCATTTCGGATGCCTGGATCCGGCCCCGACAGGAAAAATTTACATTCCAACCCATTCAGGCTGCCTGAGGAAAAATGTACATCCCAAACCAATCGGGCTGCCTGATCCGGCCCTGGCAGGAAAAATTTACATCCCAATCCAATCGGGCTGCCTGATCCGGCCCTGGCAGGAAAAATTTACATCCCAATCCAATCGGGCTGCCTGATCCGGCCCCGACAGGAAACATTTAGATCCCAACCCAATCGGTCTGCCTGATCCGGCCCCGACGGGAAACATTTGATCCCAACCCAATCGGTCTGCCTGATCCGGCCCCGACGGGAAAAATTTACATTCCAACCCTATCGGGATGCCTGATCCGGCCCCGACAGTGAAAATTTATATCTCAACCCAATCGGGCTCCCTGATCCGGCCCCGACAGGAAACATTTGATCCCAACCCAATCGGTCTGCCTGATCCGGCCCCGACGGGAAAAATTTACATTCCAACCCTATCGGGATGCCTGATCCGGCCCCGACAGTGAAAATTTATATCTCAACCCAATCGGGCTCCCTGATCCGGCCCCGACAGGAAACATTTGATCCCAACCCAATCGGTCTGCCTGATCCGGCCCCGACGGGAAAAATTTACATCCCAACCCAATCGGGCTGCCTGATCCGGCCCCGACAGTGAAAATTTATATCTCAACCCAATCGGGCTCCCTGATCCGGCCCCGACAGGAAACATTTAGATCCCAACCCAATCGGTCTGCCTGATCCGGCCCCGACGGAAAAAATTTACATCCCAACCCAATCGGGCTGCCTGATCCGGCCCCGACAGTAAAAATTTATATCTTAACCCAATCGGGCTGTCTGATCCGGCCCCGACAGGAAAAATTTACATCCCAACCCAATCGGGCTTCCTGATCCGGCCCCGACAGAAAACATTTACATCCCAACCCAATCGGGCTGCCTGATCCGGCCCCGACAGTAAAAATTTATATCTCAACCCAATCGGGCTGCCTGATCCGGTGCCGACTGGAAAAATTTTACCAGTTGGTATCGGTTCAGGTAGCCCGATTGGGTTGGAATGTAAATTTTTCCCTCGGGGCCGGATCTGACAGACCAATTGGGTTGGAATGTAAATTTTTCCCAGATTTGGTGAAATTTTTTTTTTCCTGACGGTGCCGAATCAACCACCCCGATTGGGTAGGATAGGATTACATCTCAACCCTTACGTATGACGTCACTTACCTTATCGTTTTCTACACTGTTATAAAGAAAAAAGGTTATCTGCCATCTTGAAGCAGCGGCTATTTTAAACAAATTACAATATTGAGTATAATATATTGTATTGTCATAATCACCAAAACTGTGTGCAACTTTTTAGCTCAATCGGTTAAAATCGACTTACTAGTTTGTTGTTTACATAGAAGTATAGCTATTTAAATATATAACGAGTGTAATAAATACTTCAAGTTATTGGTATAATGGTTTTATTATCATTAATTATAATACTAATTACATTAACTTAAGTACATTAATTAAATTAAAATATTAACCCTGAGTAATAAAATAACAATACAAAACAGGGTGTCCCATAATTAGCGTGCAATACTTTAACAAGAAATTCTACGTACAAAAATTTAAAAAAAGTTTCTATAAACATAAGTCGAGAAATGTTTTCTAAGAAAGATACAGCCCTTGAAAGAGGAGCCTCTAAAGATGGTTTTTATTTAATATCTCCAAAAACGTTCAAGATGAAAAAGTGAAATTTTGGGAATTGATCAAACTTTTTATGACCAATTAGATTTAATAATAACAATTTCAAAATTTCTATTAGGGGTGCATCAGATAGATGTGGTTAAAACCACCCAAACTTTTTTTACGTGTCTTGTTCCAGGATTTTATGTCAGATTATACAATTTTGGAATTATACAAAAAAGGTCCTCTTGATAAACTTTGATATCATGCACCGTTTTCGCTTAAAATCGATTTAAAAATTTTCAAATCAATTTTAAAGGACATAAAAATTCCTAATGCAACTAGAGAAATAGATTTAGCGTAGGTCATGGAACACGCCATTTTGGAAAAATTATGCAAGACAGGTGACGGTTTCATGTAATAATTGACACGGTGATTAAAAATTGTGTTTGACAGCCAACTTGACAGCCGTCTTTCATGGCCTAAGCTAAATATTTTTCTCTCTTATGATTTTATTATGAATTTTTTATGGCATATAAAATAATTTTTAAATCGATTTTAAGCGAAAATGGTAAATGTTATCGAAATTCAACAAAAGGACCTTTTTTGTGTGTAAAACTCCAAAATATCATAAACTGACATCAAATCATGGTACAAGACACGTACAAAAAAGTTAGGGTGGTTTTACCCCTACTCCATATCTATCTGACCTACCCCTTGTGGTAATTTTAAAACTGTTATCATTACATCTTGTTGGCCATAAAAAGTTTGATTAGTTCCCAAAATTTCACTTTTTCATCTTAAACGTTTTTGGATATTAAATAAAAACCATCTTTAGGGGCTCCTCTTTCGGGGGCTGTACCTCCCTTATAAGGAATGCTTCCTATAGGAAGCATTTCTCGACCTATGTTTATACGAACTTTTTTCGTATTTTTGTAAGTAAAAACTGCTGTATTGCAAGCTAATTATGGAATACCCTGTATACAAAACTTAAAAATTGTATCATCAAAAATCGAAGTATTAGATTTGAATGTAAATACAAAGAAATAATATATTCAACAATACCCCAAATGGACCATAAAAATATTTGTCGTCACTAATTGACAAAATATTTTGGGCATTTTTTTGGGATCTTATGAATCAAAATCGACGAAATTTTATCAATATACATGATTTGGCAGATTTTTTAATAAACATTTTAAACAATGTCTGTAATTTTTTTTATTTAGAAATGACAAAGAATGTTTACTATGGTCCACACTCAAAGTCCCGCCACGTGACTTCGATACAAAATTTAAATATTTAATATTTAAGGTTCATTTTGTGTCAGGGTCAAACTAAATTGGTCTAATTTTCTAAAAATAATAAATTTTTTGTGTTGTAAATTAAGATCTTTATACACAAAAAATACATTATTTTTAGAAAATATCACGAAATTAGCTTGGCACCGACAGAAAATCAACCTACATTTTTTTATCAAAGTCACGTGGTAGGACATGTGTGGCCCATAGGAATAAAAATTGTTTTATTGTACAGAATACAGAGTTTAAATATTTAGTTACATGATTAATATTATTAAATTTAATCAATTTAATTTTTAATTGGCATTATTACATAAATAGCGGTATTTAATCCTGAAAAAAATTAATTAAAGAATGGTTATTAATGGTCAATTTTTTGGATTATATAATGTCATATATGACATTATATGATACAAAAAATTAAAAACAGTTTAGATAATTACAATCTGTACAGTGAAGTTTAAAATTTTCTAAATTCAAATGTTTATAATGACAAAAAAGATTTTTGTTTTGTTTGTTTAGAAATAGATTTTTAGTACAACAACTCTTAAATAACATATGTAACTTTAACAAATAAATTGCAATGGTTTTCGTATAATCCGTTTGAGAATTTCCTACTCACCAGAGACCCTAATATGTTTTTAAATAAAAAATATATGTATAAATATAAAAAATATAAACAAATGTTTGTCAATAATAAACAAACTTTTTTATTTGAGATTCGAAAATTGTTATTTCTATTAAAATACCACAAATTATTGTAATTACGTTCAAATCTAAGACTAATTTATTTTTAGTGAGTTTTACGTATCACGAATTCTGACACTCATTCACTTCGCCGCAAAATTATTAAAACTGATTTTGTTTGTCTAAAGATTCTTTATAATTTTTTAACATTTTAACAGATTTAAATAAAAACTTTTTTTGATGGATTACTATTTTTTAATAATATGCGTTGATTTTGCGGCGTAATAATACTAATACTAATAATTTACTAATACTAAAAAGAAACGAAAAAAAACTAGCTACTCATTTGTATCAGCGTCTTTAGCACTGGCATCAATAGTTTGTTTCTTCCTCTTCTCTCTTTGACCATCCCAATCTCTTGAACAATTAATAACTGCTCCTATGCTTTTATAGAAAGAGACTTCATTAACTGGAGGTTTGTTTTGTTTTTTAAGTTCTTCGTTTACTTTAGCTGTAAGGTAACAAAGTTTTATATGAAATAACACTAAAAAGGAACAATGTTTAACTAAACACCCTAGTATTTGTCCATATGGACAAGTGATATATGTTTTGTCCCACACTCACTTGGAATTGTTTAATGTTTAACTTTAAAAATAATAGTAGTAAGTAAAAACCGATCTACCTATTCGAGAAAATTTCTGAAATGGACTGGTTATTGCACTGGACCCTCCAATTGAGACAAAAATTTACAAAGAAAGCTATTGTTACACTGGTTGAACAACTAGTGGAACAATGAAAAAAGAACAAAAAGACAATATTTGAAAACAAATAATTACACCTATTTTTACAAACTGATAATACATTTGTATATGTACATATGATACGACATGATTTTAATCATTGTTCACATATTTTAAATGTAATTTTACTGCTATTAAATAATTTTAAAACTGACCAATCGAATCATTTTTTTTTTAATTTTTCGTTACATAGAATATGAATGAATATTTAACTTGTACTTTTTTCTAAAAAGTACGCTTAAAATATAAAAAAATATAAAAAGTCTTGATTAGTCAGTTTTTTTAAATTTCAAGAAATTCACAGAAACTTTTTTAGTGGAGTAGTAAATGCATAGTTTAACATCGTAGTGAAGTGTAGGGAGTCAAGCCACAAATTTTGTTCATTTAAAAACCCATGATAAATGCTACAATACTTTGAAACAGACCTAACGTAAGAGTATTTTGTTACTTAAATAATTATTCATTGATATACCTTGTATATACATATATATATATATATATATATATATATATATATATATATATATATATATATATATATATATATATATATATATATATATATTAGGGAGATTCGTTACTGTTCATTTGATTTGTACAAAATTTTCAGAGTATACTAACAAAAATACGGTCTTTAACAGCAATTTTTTTATTTACTTGAAAAAAATTTCCCTAAAAGTTATTTTTCGAAAGTTTTTTAATATTAAAAAAATGGGCTTTAAAAATATTTTCTCAAAAAACCCTCAAACACGTAAACTGAGATATAAGTTGAAGTATTTTAATCCAAAATTTCTTAAAGATTAATAAAGGCGTTTTTGAGTTAGTTTTTTTTACAGTTGTTGCTCTACATATTTCCACTACTATATATATGTTAACTTTTTAAAAAATATAAAAAATAAACTCACCAAATGCACAAGCATAAAGCGCTGTATCCTTCATTACAAACTTGCCAGGAACTGGATTCTTTGCAGTGTAGTTTGCAATGACTTGTCTGCTGCAGAATTTAGCAAATATATTGGTCAAAGTTTTGTTAAGAGGTTTGTTGATTTCCAACAATGTCCAAATAATCTCAGCCTAAAAACAATAAGGAAAGTGTGGTAAGAAAAAATGTTTAACATACATACTATAATTGGGTCCGGCCAAAGAAAATTTAAGAAATTTTAATTTCAAAACAAGCCTAATGCATTTAATTATAATTAAGGATTTATAAAATTTTACCCTTTAAATATTTTTTACCTTGATTCAAGGAAGATTTAAACAATTTTTTTTTTATTTTTTAGAATTTGTACGTTAGGTACTTGAAAAACAAAAAAATGGTTATTTATGTCATTAGACCGAGAAGCACAAAATGAAACTTTTCAGCCGAATGGCATACAATGTTTTATATTTTTAACAGTAGTCAAATTTTCGCATTTTTTAGACTGGAAGGTAAAAAATGAAAATATTTTTTTTTATCTTCAAGCGTTTTATAATTTAAGCTTTATTATTGTCAACGCTCACTACAAAAGTAGGTATTCGATTATCTCCTAGGCTGTAAAAATAATTTAGACCAATCAAGACCCGTTAAGGGGCGTCCATTAATTACGTGAGGCGATTTTGGCGATTTTTAGACCCCCCTTGGTGAGATTTGGCTCGACCCTCCCCCCCCCAATCTCAAGGGGGATTTTTAAAAATGCGTATTTTTAGAGTAAATACGTTAATCTGTGGTTGATTGCATTTTTTACACTGTTAAAAAATTACGTGATATTTGCCGAGACCCCCTCTCCCCCACGTGAGATTGGGTTAGATTGGGCTCGACCCCCTCCCCCCCTAAACGCCTCACGTCAATATAATTGTAAGTACGTTTTATCTAACAGATAAAACTGTTTCTTAAAGATAAAATGTTGTATGCCATTCGGCTTAGACATCGTCTTTTTGTGCTTCTCGCAGTTGCTCAAACTTTGAGCTCAGCACAAAAAGACGATGTCTCAGCCTTACGACATAAATAACTATTAGAATACCAACATTATACTTAAATGTAGTTAAAAAGATACATACTACTTTTTCCTTTGTGGCTTCATCAGTCGTTATTTTTTGATCAAACTCTTGAAACTCTTTTAGTGATGTAAATGGTAACTTAAACTGTTCATGTTCTGGAGCTGCTACATCTCGTCTTTTAATTAATCTCTCCAATCCAATTTTTGTACCCACCACTTCACTTTGAAGCATGGATAATTGTGAAGCTAGTTTTTTAAAAGAATTTGTTACATATTCTTTTAAATCCTGAATATCTGCATAAAAAATCATAAAAAATCTAAAATTAATAATATTCATGAATTTGCCATCAGAATTTGACCACGAGTCTTGGTTTCGCCCCAACCACAAAAACAACTTAAAATCTCTAAAATTAGGTTTTTTTTAGGTTAGGGCCAAACAAAGACCCTTTGAGTCAATTTTAATGACGGATTTGGATCAAGATTTTTTTATTTTTTTGTGTGGCTGTTACTGTGCAATTGAATAAAATCAATATTACAATTAAATCAGAGAAAATAAGAACAGTACAACTCCAAAAAATTTATTTTAACAAATTATTTTCTAAAATTAATTTTAAACGCATTGTTGTGAGAAGATATAAATCATGTTACAAAATATGATTATTATATTTTATAAAATAGTAAAATATTTCCACAAAAATGTATTTTAACTTTAATACATGTACTGTTCTTAATCTCACCGGTTCAATTGAGAGGTAAATCAATTTGAAATTAGCTAGATAACGTTTAGCGTTATATGGACGTTGTGCAGATTTTTATATATTCGACCTTTATCGATAAACATTTTTTTAGATGCATGACTTAGTTTTAGGTACACTAAAATTTAATATTTGAAAAAAAATAATTTACCAAATTAAAAATTATTAAAACGATTTTTTTGATGTATGTATTTAAAAACTAGAACTTAATTCTGTTTGAGGGAGGAAAATAGTAGGCAAACGTGATTTTAAAAAAGTGGACCTAATACAGTTTGGTTCTAGGGTACAGTTTTTTTTTAATAATATAATTAACAGAAATGAAAAATTAAAATATTTCATAAAATAATAACAAGTTATAATTTTTTACCTTCATTAATTGTGCTAAGTGTAACTTGTTTCTCTCTTGAGTTTGTTGATACAGGGCTTAGTGTAACAGTCTCACTTCTCACTTCTTCCAAATTACCTTTAAAATGTTAAATATGATTAATTGATAATCTAACTTTAAATATATAAATAAAATTTTATTATGGAAAGTTATTAAAACAATTTTGAGTTAATTTTCATTTAATAAAATGAAAACATAATAATTACGAAACCCACAGTTTTATCAAATGCCATTTGACAAATGGCTAGCCATTTTATAAAACGAGGCCTTATTGTAAAATACTCGTTCATTTTGCATTATTTTACAATTCGGCTTGTGTTTTTAGCCATTTAATAAATAAACTGGTCAATCAAATAAAAGCAACATTGTTAAATAGTACCTATTAATGTATGTAAAATTTTCTGTTTTTAACTAACCCATTAAATGAAAAAAAAATGTTTTCTGTTTTTTAAATTATTGCTATATGCGACAGGGCAGGTATATGTTTTTTTCACATTTAAATGAATTGCGGGCTGAAGCTTTATTTTAAATTGGAAAAAAGTGAGGTTAAATCCGAGTGTCAGATGTCAAATGTTTAACAAATAATATTGGCTCTAAATTCTTTTTGTGTTCGACGTAGATAAACTATAGTATGCAACTGGTTTATAACCTTCCCTAGAAACTCGTTTTTATTAACACTTGCTCGCAAGCTTCGCTCGTGTCTAATTAAAGTAGTAACTGAAATGGGGTTTATAAAACTTGATACATAATAAACTATTATCTACTTCCACATTGACAAGTATTTAACTAATAATTGGCTTTAAATTATTTTTTGTGTTTGGCTTAGATAAAATATAGTATGCAAATAAGAAAAGCTACTGGTCGCTTTATTAACAGTTATTGTTTTTTTTGGATTGAAAATTTTAAGAGTACTACGAAAAAATATTGAGGGGATTGAGGAGGCCCAAAAACTCCTACCGCCCAGGGCCCAAGGAATTCTTAAACCGGTACTGACACGCATGAAATAGTTTGCTTAGGTTATTATTATTTTAATGAAATAATATTGCTTTTTGGAAATGTGGCTCTTACTTGATCGGACAGTTTATAAAATGGCTAAAAACTCTAGCCATATTATAAAATATTCAAAAATGAAGTTCATTTCTAATGTGGGCGACAACAGTGTCATAAGTCAAAAAAAAATATTTTCGGGATTAAGTGTAAAATTACTTATAGTTTATGCTGCAACAGTGGCATAAAGATATTTTTGAAATTAATCCCTAGAGACTTGTGTCTGTCTGCAATTTGTATAATCCCTATCACAATTCCTCCAAAAATCTTTGGAGGTCATTATCTCGGAATTAAGGTTTTACTACTTATGACACTGTTGTCGCCCATGTGCGATATATAATTTAATTTATGTCTTACTTAGTTCTGTTTTTTCTGAATTACTTTCATTATAGACAATGTCATGTAACGAGAGCTCATCCATCTCATTCGACATTGAGGCACCTTTCTTTGGATTTTTTACCATTTCTAAAAACATGTTTTTATTGCAGATTTTTTATGAAATACAGGGGGCCAAACTTAAACAGTTGATTATTCATAGAAAAATAACATTTTTTTGTAAAATAAACAGGTATCCAAAAATGCCCCCTACGGCCCCCTGAATAGGAGCCTAATTAGAAATAGTTTTAAAAAATTATCCTATTAACTTTTTTCTGGGTTAAAGTTTTAATTTTTTTTTATGAAATTATGAAAATTTATAGTTTTTGCGAAAAATAGGTACTCTTGATTTAGATCGCTCAGATGCACTATTTTCGAGAAAAATGCATTTATAAATTACTCTGCATAGCATACACATATCATATTTTCATTAAAACTTTGAAGTAGGCTTTGGGACAAAAGTAACGTTTGGGTTATTTATATTAGTTATATTTTTTATAATTTCATAAAAAAAATTAAAATATTAACTCTGAAAAAAGTTTGGGCTATTTTTGTAACTTTGCCCCCCAAATGTTACGCCTATAATTAAATTTTAAGAGTTTTGATTTTAAATCTAGATTCAGCATGTCAAAATTACCAAAGCACCGAATATTTATTTCTTCCATGTTCAACCCTCTAGAAATAGTTTAAAAAAAGTATCCTTTTAGGGGTTAGGGGGTATTTTTTATATTTGTTTATTAAACAAAAAAATGTTATTTTTCCATGAAGAACGCACTGAGGCCCCCCTAATTTTGGGACACCATGTATAACATTATATTACATAACATGATTATTATAAAACTCGCAAAAATAAGAAGGAAAAGTTTTTAATAACTTGCATGCTTTAAAGCTTTGTTTTAGAGATACAGGGTGTTATTAAAAAATGGTCACGCCACAGCTTTTTTATGAGTTTGATTGTATAATTACATAGATTAAGCAATTAAAAATACCACTTTTATGTATCTGCAGTTTTTCTTTATTTTGCTTAATTTTCAAGAAAAAAATTAAATTCGTTTTTATTTATTTATTTTTCTTGTAAATTAAACAAGATATAAAAAAATGTAGGGGACAAAAAGTTGTATGTTAATTGCTTAATGTAAAACAAAAAGCAGTAGCGTACCTAATCTGAGCCACCCTGTATTTAAACAAAACACCATGTTTATTTTTACATATATGTATACGATATATATGTATATATGTATATATACCTATATCAAAAGCCAATTTTATTTGGAATAAGCACTTGAACTTGTTAAAATAAAGTAATAGTTTTGTTATTTCAGCAACCATCAGAGTTTAAACGCTTATTAAATAATATTATTAAATTTTTTAACTTACTTGAAATTGTTTTTTCCATGTCCATTGGTTGGGTTAAATCAATCGAAGGTAAGACAGATTTATAAGATTTGCTCGTTGACCCTTTTTGACCCTTTAAACGATTTTTTTTTTTAGTAACTTCTTTTGCTAGTTGGTCATCTTCAGTTGAAAAAACATCACTTTCTTCTTTAAGTATTTCCAATTTTTTTAGCGCTTCTTCATAAGTTTCTAATAATAAAGGCATATTAATAAAATAATATAAAATAATTTATATAATACAGGGTGTCCGGGAAAAGGAGGTGAATCCATTAATCATATATTCCTTGAGCTAAAACAATAAGACTTTCATAATACCATTTTTCAATTTAGAGCTTTATGTTCTATACAGGACGACAAAGTTTGAAATTTAAAACTGATTTTTTAAAAAAATCGAGTAATTGATAAGATATTAAGTTCAAATTCGGTACACTACTTCAACATAAATAGTTTCATCTTTTGAGATCAATAAAACAAAAAAACAATTGTCAAATAATCAAAATAGGGGGGTCCAGTACTCACTGACCCCCCCTATTTTTTAGTATGTGCGCCAATGACTTCCAAACGGCATTGTTTCAGGTTATACCTGTTTATACCGTTTGGAAGTCACTGGCGCACGTACTAAAACATAGGGGGAGTCAGTGGGCACTGGACCCTCCCCTATTTTGATTATTTGACATTTGTTTTTTTGTGTTATTGATCTCAAAAGATGAAACTATTTATGTTGAAGTAGTGTACCGAATTTGAACTTAATATCTTATCAACTACTCGAATTATTAAAAAAATCAGTTTTAAATATTTCAAACTTTGTCGCCCTGTATATCGAACATAAAGCTCTAAATTGAAAAATGGTAGGTAGGTATTATGAAAGTCTTATTGTTTTAACTCAAAGAATATATGGTTAACGGATTGACCTCCTTTTTCCGGACACCCTGTATAATATGATCATATTTGTTGGGTACAAATGCCCAAAAATGCAAGTTTTAAAAATTGCAACCCAACCCAACCTTACCCATTCTAAAAATGCTCAGAAATACCCAAAAATGCAAATTTAAAAAATGCAACCCAAAACCAATCTAACCCATTCCAAAAATGCCCTGAAATACCCAAAAATGTAACTCAACCTAACCTAACCCTTATAAAGGTATACCAGAAATGCCCAAAAATGCAAAAAAACAAACCCAACCTAACCCGTTTTGTAAATGCCCCGAAATTCCCAAAAATGCAACCCAACCTGGTCCGGAAATGCGCAAAAAATGCAAAAAAAAACCCAACCTAAACCATTTTGTAAATACCCAAAAATGCAACCCAACCAAACCCATTCCGAAAATGCCCTGAAATGCCCAAAAATGCAAAAAAAATGTATTACCATAAAAAATTTAACAATTTTATGTCAAGTTTGCTATTTTAGCATTTCAATTGATCGTCAATACAAAAAGATTTAAGATTTTTTATGAACTTACCTGCATAGCCTTTAATTTCAGCACGAAAGAGTTTCCAGGTATCAATCGGTGATTTTAATTCCTTTACCAATTTATGTAAATGGCAAACATTAGAATCCGAAAATTTAGACAAAAAAGGACAAACCATATCTTCTTCATCGTTGAAATGTAACCACTTCGATGGTACTATGTCTATACTTTTTTGTTCGTTTTTTAAGATTTCGTCCATAAAACACACCAACGAATATGGTTTAGACATCTTAACCTCAATCGTTCACGCAACACGGACTCTAAGAAACGCAAAATGAGACTGATGGGGAGGTGAGCCGCCCCCACTATACTATGAACGCGAAAAATAACCAAAAATATCCAGTTTTATCTGACGAAACCAGCTTTTAAAGACGAGTTCACTTGATAACAAGGGGAGGGAACACAATAGAAAATGATTTAAAATGTATTACAATTATTAATTATAGCCCTATAATAATTATTATTATTATAGGGTTATAATTATAATAAATGTAGCTATAATTATTATTATGTCTTGTTAATAAATAAAGAAATTTCGGTAGGTATAATAAGTAGGTAGATAGGTATTATTATAATAATGCAAACAAATAATCAAATAGGAAAAATGTTTCAATTTAAATTATGAAAAAAATCTTTAATGATTTTGTTAACTAGGTAGGTAGTAGGGACCTACCTATGCCTGGTTATTTCATTCAATTAATAGGTATTTTACTTTAACGTGTAACTAATAATACCTATGTACCTATATACCCACATAATTAATAAGTGGGGAATTAAATTATAGGTAGGTAGGTACCTAAAGTCTATTCAAATCCAAGATAAATTCGATATAAACACACTCACGCGCTGTTCATGCTCTATTCAGGTGATTCAGGTGATCGACGAAGTGTTGCACAGGGCCGGGTTAAAATATATCGATCATTTATTTATTTATTGAACAAACTATTTGATCTTAACAATTTTTAATTTATAATTTATAACATGTAAAGATTTTAAAATAAAAAAATAAAAATGATATTTTAAATTACGAAATTAACAAAATTTTGGAAAATTATTTTAAATTTATTTTATTTACCTTAAAGGTTTTTTCTTACATACATATTTATTTAAATATTTTATAATTTAATTTTTTGTATGGGTAAGAAATATTTCTTCTCAATTTAACAAATGTGCATTTTACAACTAACAACACTTAAGCCCTCTAAATTTTCGGCTTCATCTGTGCTTGACATCGCACTTAATTGAGTAATAATAACAATAACAACCAAATAACCACAAAAACAATAACAAAAACAACAACAATAACAAAAAATAACGTTATATAACAAGTACTTATAATATAACAATAACAAAAATAACCACAAAGATGAAAGCCGTAAAAACAAGGAAGTAATCAAACGATACTCTATTAATGAGCGCAATGGACATAATGCGCCCCTGGCAAGTATTTGTCGGCACGCTTCACAACTCATAAGTTGCAGAATCTACCAATAAGGACCGTTCTATCCACCTGCAAACGTCTGATCATGCGGCCGCGGCCCGCCGGCGTTTTTTGTTTTAGTCCAGCTTGGTTTTAAATTAGTTAAATTAACTTTACACACCTAGGTACCTACTAGGTAAATTTATTTTTGGTAAAAATAATTCTTAAGTTAAAGGTACTATGCTCCACATATCAAAGTCCCACCACGTGACTTAGATAGATATAATTAAGGTTAATTTTCTGTCACTGTCAAGCTAATTTTGTCCTATTTTTTGAAAATAATGCCATATATGTATTTTTTGTTTATAAAGGCTTTAATTTAGAAACACAAATAATACAAATGAGGAGCAATCAGACAAAACCAGATAAATCCATTGGAGTGATTTGCAGAAACAAGTCAGAAATAAAAGAATTCGTTTGCTTTTGACTTATTTCTGCAAATCACTAAAATGGATTTATCTGGTTTTGTCTGATTGCTCCTCAAATATTGTATTACTTTTAGAAAATAGGACACTGACAGAAAATTAACCTTTATTATTTATATCAAAGTCACGTGGTGGGACTTTGATGTGTGGAGCATAGTACCTATTTGGTAGGGTTCGGCTGATAAATATAATATTTATCACGATATTTAAAAGCAATAATATTCCCTGTTTTGCCACTATTGTGAAGAATAGAAAAAATAGGGATATTTAAAAGTAAGATGGCTTGCTTTAACACCAGGTCCTGCTATAAAGCGTGTTTTACAATTGAATCGGTGAGAATAAGAACAGTACAAGTCCAAAAATTTTATTTTGACAAATCATTTTTTTAAATTATTTTTAAAGATTAAAATGCATTGTTGTGAGAAGATATACCTACCTAAATCATTTTACAAAATATGATTAATATATTTTATAAAATAGTTAAAATATTTTCACAAAAATGTATTTTTAACTACCTACATATAGGTAATACCTATAAAACTGATTTTATAAAATAACTTGTCAGAATTTTAACTTTTGGACTTGTACTGTTCTTAATCTCACCGATGTAATTATTTGTGCCTTGTTCATTTTTTGTATTAAGAATGTAGGTAATTTTCGTATTTTACCAAAAGAATCTAGTCTTAGGTAGGTATTTTGATTAAGTTTTCTCTTCAATTTATTTATGTCGTTCTTTTTATTTTAAAAAAAGTAGGTCATCAAAGGGGTGTTTCAAGATTGCTGGGTCAAAAAACAAAGCAACCTTTAGTACCTACATAGGTACAGGGCCGGATTAAGGCAAAATGGGGCCCGGGGCTGAAAAATTAAGGGGCCCTTAGTTTTTTATTAAAAGAAAAATGTAATATTTAATGTTAATAACAATAATAAATAATAGTATTAAAAATGTCTTTTAAATTTAGTAAATAATTGAAAAATGCAAATCATGAAAATTGCTAAAATTAATTTACACTTAAAACCATTATTTAAATAAAAGTATTAATTGTAAGTTATTGAAAACAATAAATGATTGCAATTTTATTGCATGTATTTTTTATAAAGTAACAGTATATTATATATACAAGAGATAATGTGCATAATTTCTAGTGTAATATCATGCTTATTAAGAAGAGATTAAATGATTTACAAAAATAAATAAATAAAATTTGACATCTGTCAAATGATTAACCTTACTTTTTACAAATTTAAAATATAATTATTGCCGCCCAATTTAAAACCCAATTGGTTCAAATTACAGTAAATATTGAAATGGGCCAATCACTGATGCCTATAGGCGTATAGACGTAAATAATGAGTTCATTATTCCCGTTGTTATGCAGGGAATTTATATTTTTTATCATTATATACGCAAAAACTCAATATTAGGCAATAGGGGTAGATAAACATAAATAATAACATTGATTTTAGAAACAATAATATTATTTAATTCATGCATTTTCATAGATTAACTTACTACAATCAACATTTCTTATAAATATTCTTTTTAAAATTTAAAAATAGGAGTACTTCGCATTTTTGTATATTTTGTTAGTTTTTGAGCGTTATAAAAATACAATACCAATTTTATTAGAATTTTTATTAAATTGTTCGTACACAGCTGCAGTTCTTCTTAACTTCTTTATTAGCTTACCTAAATTAAACCTTTATTTTTGTTAAAGGATTTTTTTAGAAGTGTGCCGGAAAGCCTCGGTTGCCCGACAAACTTTAGTCTATCGGCGACTATCAAAGGGGTGATAAAATATATTTTTTATAGTACTGAGCAACTACTGGCTTTTTTATTATTCTGACTTTTAAATATCAAGGTGTCGGGGGCCCCTTTGAATGGCGGGGCATATTTGACATATTTATACGTTTGAAAAATCTTTGCTAGAATTTATACAAATTGCTTTAAAAAAGTGTTTTTTTCAGAATTTGACCTTACTTTTTGACCATCCTGTATAAAATTTTATTACAAAATTATCGTTTTAGGGGTTTTTGGGTATGCCAAATTCAGAAACGCTGCTCATTTTTAAATTTAAAAAATGCCTAATAACTTTTGAAGATTTTGGAGACCATCTATTATTCATAGAGGGTCGTGGAAATGACAAATGACAAAGTTTTTTTTTTTTAAGATAGAGCTTTTAGAGTACTACAAACCTAAAACAAAAAATTTTGAGATCGATCTATTTTTAAATAAATACCGAATTGTACTAGGTACTATTAGTCAGTTAAAATTAAAAGTAAATATGTATATGTAATTTCTAACTTACCTTTTTTTAACTGCAGTTAAACTAACTAATCTCATAAGGTTAGTTTAGGTAATTTTAATCGTTTAAATTAGCCATAAACAACAAATATTTAACTTAAGTTAAATATTTGTTGTTTATGGCTAATTTAAAAACTTATTGCTAACATACCTACCGTACAATTGTACGGTAGGTATGTTAGCAATAAGTTTTTTCATATTAAAAATGTGAGGATATTTTTTGGTTTAGGTATAGGGTACCTAATCAGTGGAGATGGGATTTTTTACCTATTTGTCTACGCTACTCATAACTTTGATGTGTAATGCAGAGATATAGATAATATCTATACAAACACAAACCAAAAAATATCCTCACATTTTTAATATAAAAAAACTATTATCTATTAGATATATCTATATCTCTGGTTTAATGAAATAACATCCGTTTTGAAAAAAATGCATTTGAGCCTAATTTTATTTTACCTAAATTCTTATTTTTAAGAAAATTTGACCCTTTTTTAAATTATGCTACCTAAAATAGTTGTGATTTTACTTATTTTACCTATAGGTAAAAAAATTGAATCTATAGATTCAATTTATTTTTTAATAAAGGAACTTTTTAAATTTTACCCTCAAAATAGTTATTTAGGTGTCAAGCTTTGTAAATGAATCTTTACGGGCGAGCTGGTTTGTGGGGTGAGCGACGCAGGAGCGAACCCCATAATCCAGTGAGCCTAGTAAAGATTAATTGCAAAGTGTGACACGTACAAACTTTTATTTTCACCTTTAGATAACGATTTTCAAATTTCAAATAATTTGTCAAATGTGATATTTTATTTCATAAATTGCTTTTGTTCAAGCCTGTAAAACTTTACAGGTCTTTTATACAAGCTCGTAAAATATTACCTTAATAATAAAATTTTTGCAATACAATTTTATACAATAATATTTATATTTTATTACATAAACTTTGCTTTTTAAAATCTATTTTTTAAAGTACTTACCTACCTAATTTTTTTTAAACTTATTTTTTTAAAGTACTTACCTAATTTAAGAATTTTCTCACCTAAAACAGAAAAACCTTCCCTATTTATAAATAGGGAAGGTTTTTTCTTGTTTTAGTTGAGAAAATTCTTAAATTAGGTATACCTACCTATAGGTACCTATTTTTCTAAATTTTGCAACCTAAAATCCC